CCAGTATTGAGCAAATATAATTCTCACTGCTGTTAATAAATGTAATATTAAGTATACACATTTCTTACCATAATTTTCTGAAATTGTGCCTAAAAAATAATTCCGGTTTATAGTCTACATTTATTTTATTTATTTATTTATTTAATTTTATTTATATGCCGCCCAATCCCAAAGGACTCAGGGCGGCGTACAAAATTAAAACAATCATCTAACAATAAAACAATAAAATAATACAATCATACAGCATGTCCGATCATATCCCGCCCCCCCCCCGGGGACATCAGCCCCAGGCCTGCCGGAACAGGAGAGTTTTAACGGCTTTCTTAAAGGCCGGCAGGGTGGGAGTAGTGCTCCTATCATCTTTTCTAGCCACCTTATGTATTTTTCACCAATAGTTCTTTGCTTTATGTGCCTGGATTTTGTCTGCATTTCTAACAATTGCTAGACACATTTTTAAACAGTTTTGCTAATCTTGCAGGTGGTAAGTGCCATCTAAAGAAGATTTTATATAAATTTTCTTTATAAGTAGCTGCCCTCGATATTTTGTAGTTTCTTTCCCATAGGTTTTGCCATTTTTCTAGCTCTACATTGTGCCCAAAGTTTTTTGCCCAAGTTATCATTGTTTCTTTAACTTGTTCATCTTCCATTTTTAAATTTAACAGAAAGCTGTACAGTTTCTTAATAAATTTGTCATCTGATGACAATAGTATCTGGTCTAATGTTGTCTGGTCTTTGTAAAAAAACATATAGTTTTGCATCTTTCTCATATCTCATTTGCAGGTGTGGCCACCATGATAGCTCAATGACCTGTTCTTCCAATTCTTGTTTATTTTGTAGTTTCCCATCAGTATTCAAAATATCTTTGTAAGTTTCTCATAATTGATTAAGTTTGGGTGTACAAACGCCTCCATTGTCAAAATCCATTCTGGTATTTTCATGTAAGTTCTTGATTTTACCTTTTCCCATGTCAAAAGCAGTGCATTTCTTACATAGTGGTTTTGAAAGTATTTGTGGATTTTGTTCTTCCCATACCATAGGAAAGCATGCCATCCAAGTTGTAGGTCATGCTCTTCGAGGTATAATAGTCTTTTATTTCTAAGAGTTATCCATTCTTTTAACCATGTTAGTGTGGCTGCTTGATAGTACAAGACCCAGTCTGGTGGGCCAAAGCCTCTATTTTCTTTTGCTTCTTGTAACATTTTCAGTCCGATTCTAGCTTTTTCCCCTTGCTAGATAAATTTCAATATCAGGAAAAAAATTTTTGTCAATTTTTATCAGTATTGTTTGAAATAAAAAGAGTAGTTTTGATAATATGTTTATTTTCACCATCGCTGTTCTTCCCAGGATTGATAATTGTAAATTTTTCCATTTTTCCAAATCTAGTTTTAATTTTTTTTAATAATTGTACATAATTATCTTCTTTTAACATCTTACTGTTAAATATATCCCCAAGTATTTAACTTTCCTAACTATTTGAAGGTCTGTTTTTACTGATAGTAAGTTTTTTTGTTTATCTGAGACCTTCACAACTTGTCAAATGTTTGTTTTGACCACATCATTTCTTATTTGATGGATATGCATACTTGCTGGTTAGTTTTTTCTATTTTAAAAAGGTTTAAATCAGGTAAGACATATCAAGCACCAAAGCTGCCTAATAAAGTTTTTTCCTATTCTCTTGTTTTTTTAAGGTGGTGAACATAACTAACATTCTTTTCTCCTATTTTCCCTGCAACAACCAACCCTGTGGGGTGAGTTGGGCTGAGACAGAGTGACTGGCTGATAGTCACCAAACCAGCTATGAATAATTCTAAAAGATTGATGAATATATACCTATATAGGAATATATACCTATATAGTGTTTACTAAGAGCTTCCTTTCTTAGCAAGCAATTGATTTTCTTAGCCTTCATAATGATTTATAATAATACTACCTGAGATGCCATAGATGCATAATCTTGTAATTTTCTGATTTTTTTTTTAAAAAAATTGGTATTACATTCACTAATGTGTAGGCCTCTGAAATGAAAGCCAGTATTTGGGAGATTAGTGAGCAAGTTTTCAAAGAGGAGAAAGTTCTACACATAATTGTGGTATGAAATCTAGACATGACTTTATGACCAATCCATGCATTTAACGTTCACATGGTCATGTGATCAGAATTTGGGGAATTGGCAGCCAGCATGTATTTGCACAGTTGCAATAGCCTGGGAGCATGTAATTGCCAATTTTGACCTTCCCAGTTGGTTTCCGACAAACAAACTCAATAGGGGAGGCTGGATTGATTCACTGCAGTGATTCACTCAAGAACCATGGCAAAAATGGTGATAAAATCAGGCGCAAGTCAACTACCTTGCTTAGCAACAGAAATTATGGTCCCAATTGTGGTTGTAAGTCAAGGACTACCTGTACTAGGGATGTGGTATCTTTTTTCCTCAACAGTGTGTTCTGTAGGGTATCAGCTGGTACAGAATGCAGCTGCACAAGCTATAGTGAGTGCCCAAAGAAGGGTACCTTTGCTTCACTTACTGCACTGGGTGCCAGTTTGCTTCAGGTCTAATTCAAGGTGTTGATCGTTATCTATAAAGCTTTACATGTCATAAGACCATCACATCAGCCCATCCCACTTCTCCTTTTTTCCCCCATCACATCAGCCCATCCCACTTGCTCAAGCAGGGAAGGCATGCTACAGACCCCCCCCCTTTTCTGCCACCTTCCTTGTTTTGTGAAACATCTTGTCCCAATCTTCTGGCCTTCCACAAAGGGGTCAAAACCCGGCTATGTAGCCTTGTGTGGGAGACACAAGAGCTCATACAGCCATGGAGATGGTTAGTCCCATGAGAACCCTCTCCCCTGCCTGTATTAACAACTCTTGGTCTCCCCATTTTGGATCTCTCCATCTCTTGCAATCTTATAATGTTGTTTTTCACTTTTAATTTCTTAATCTTAAAATTATTTGGTTTTAATATGTTATTATAATGATTTAATTGTACACCACCCAGAGCCTCTCTGTGAGGGAGATGGGTGGTTAATAAATTTGATATAGAAATATATAATATCTTTTAGACAAATATCTGCTTAGAGCAGTGGTTCTCAACCTTTTTATAGCTGCAACCTCGGTCGTAAGTCAAGGACTACCTGTATTTCCCTGCCCGGGAGTGCTGCGCATGCGTGGTGCCGCCCCCTGCGCTGGCCGAGGCATAGCTGGCAAGGGGCGGCGGCAGGCAGGCCCAGGCGCTCGCGGGCGGCCGCGGCAGCGATGGGGCAGGGCGACCATTGGCTGGGCCACCAGCTGGCCCAGTCCAAGGCAGGTAAGGCACCCGCCGGGCCCCACGCATGCCAGCAACCCTCCCTGTGCCCACCGGCCTCCCACCTCCTATCCCCGGCCCTCTTTTACTTACTTTTTAGTTGCTCAGCAGGGAGGGAAGCTTTGCAGAATGTTCGCCTTGCAGCACCGTTTGCAGACTGGGGCTTTTGGCGGGCTCAGCAGGGCAGAGACAGCCTGGACAATTCCTATTGGCTTTTGAAAGCCAATAGAATTAGACTCTGTTCAAGAGAGTCTATTCTATTGGCTTTCGAAAGCCAATAGAATAAGAGGGAGTAGCACAGCTAAGGAAAAGGGGGAAAATGGCGGACTGCGTTGTTTGGCGATCCCTGTGAAATGATCGTTCGACCCCAAATGGGGGTTGAGAACCGCTGGCTTAGAGGCAGATGTCTCGGTTAACGCTATTAATATTATATTCTGAGTCCATTTTTCAAAAATGCCCTTCAATATGTCCAGTGTTAAAATATTTTGCTCTATTCCATAAATTTTATTTTGAGTTTATGTGATCTCTTTTAATTGTAATCTTTGGTTCCTTCTAGTTCTCTAATGTCTAATCTTCAAAGTCCCCATCTTATCACTGTTTTTAAAAATAACTCAAAACAAAAGCTTTTTCCTGTGAGAAAGATTCTTGCAATTAATTCTAAAATCTTAGTTCAAATCCATCTGTTATCTGTTTGTAACTTGTAGAAATCAAATTCTAATCACCCTTTTGCTGCTTGCGTGTGTGTGTATTTGTAATGCACGCGCACATGTGCCTGAATTTGTGTGTGTCTGTGTCCATAAACTTGTATTTAAAACTTATTTACATTTTCTTAAGAATTGAAGGAAACTCACCTGATGTTTTCAGACTTGTCAATGCAAAGATTTCTAATAGCTAAAATTAACAAGCAATTTCTCCAAAAATGATTAGAAAAGCAAGTGTGAGAACGCAGTGTCCTTCCAAAGGTGCCGACCTATGCTTTGAGCAAGATGGTTAATCTAAATCCACCAGAGACCATTATCTGTGGTCTCCTCATAAGAAGCAGCTGTGTGGGGCACTTGTGGGTAATCTCAAGTCCTCTCCTTATTTGGAGAGGTTCAAAGAACTGGTCTACTTGCAGGTTCTTCATTCTTCACTGCAGTCATTGGCTCCACTTTTTGTGAAGCCACCTTCAGTCCACCGTTTCTTTTTTCAGAAAGCACCTTGTTCATCCTTGAAACCGTGTTTTTCTTTTGCTGGTTTCTACCATCACTTCAAATCTGGTTTCATTTCTGTTCTGTGTTTGGAGAGCTGTGAGGCAGGTAGACAGTGCTTCCCTGCCTGTTTATGTATTTTTTTCCAATTTCAGTGGGTTGGAAAAAATGAAAAGTTGGACACCATGCTAGAAATTATTAGAAAAATAATTGAAAGTGAAGTGTTTGGTATTGTAATAACCTTATGTATTTGAGTAAATAATGTTGGGTGCACCAGTATGTCCAAAGATACACTGTTTACTTTCATTTATTCCATGCATATTCTAATGTCAGCAATGTACCATTTGCACATGTAGCTACTGTAAGTCTTTACAATTTTAGAAAAAATGAAATACGTTGTCTATTCATTATTTATTTAATTTTAAAGAATTGCATTTTCAGATTTTAAAATAAAGTTTTAGAAATTTATTAAATTTGATATCTTAGTTTTGTTCTGTTTATTTCAGCTTTTTGCACAACTAAGGAAAAGATAGAAAAGGTTTCCTGAAGAAGAGGACGTTCAGTTAAAGAAGAACATTCATCCAGAGGTGTGGTATTAAGATACCATCTTAATCTTTGAAATACCATAATAAAAAAGTCGGGTTACATACACATAAAGGAAACAGAATGTCTGAGCTAGAAAAATGGATGTTGCTCCAGATGTTGTTGAAGGACTTTTCCAAAGCATTCCCTCTCCACTATTTACCTTCTCTATTGCTGTTACATCTTAATTTTTATTGTTGTAAAAATAAAACTTGTTACTGAGGTCTTAAATTTTCCTTGACCCAACTATGAGACTGTCAGAAATCAGTTTCTCACATGCCTGGCTATCAGTAATGTTTTTCTTTGTCTGACTATTTGATCTAAAAATCAAAAAGACCCTTCTGCCACGCAGTTATCTAATTTATATGATATAGAATCAGGGTTTTTGCCTGTGATTACCAGAAAAATCAAGATTTACACTCAGAACCTTAGTATAAGATTAATAATATTTTAAATTGAATAGGTTTTACAACAATATAACAAAGAACATTAGGCAACAGGATATTGGGGTGGGTAAATCAAATTTACAACTTTCACAAAAAGCCCAGGTGATCTTGGCTCTCTTCTTAACTGCTTCAATGTTTTTGCTGCCTCTCTTTGATTTTTTTTTTATAGAGAAGATTAATTAACAGAAGACTGGAAAAATCTGAGCTCTAAACTATGAAAGTGTTGAAAAGTGGCAGTCTTCCTCCTATAAGGAGTAATAGGAATTTAAAACTGGTGTAACTAGTGGGGAAAAAAGAATAACATAGCAAACTATCCATGCATATAGATAGATATAGGTAGGTATTTAGGTAGGTAGGTAGGTAGATAGATAAATAGATAGATAAATTTTAAGATAGCATAAAATATAAAACCTGTTGAACTGTGTTAACTAAACTTATAAAACATATTTATAAAACTTGTCCTATTTATTTATACCCTTGTTTATGTACACATAAGAATAAATAAGAAAAAATAAAAAGGAGGAAGTAAATAACATGCCATACCATATTAGAATGGGGTGGAATATAGAATTTCTATAGCAAACAATTTAAATGCAATAGTCTTCTTGAAATAGGAAGTGTCAAGTCAGTCATCAGTAAAATATATTTTTTACAGTTGTTACATTGGTTGTTACATGGTTATGTGCTAATGGAAGTGATTCTATTGCTGTTACTCTTTTGCTGGCCTTCTAATTTGATTGGGCAGGCATTCTTCAAAAAGCATGCTTAACTGTTGCAATGCTGTTTTAATGACTGGTCATTCTTTTAGTAGGTAGAATTTGGTATGATTTACTATCCTATCTGCTTATTGCCCTAGTCAAAAACTGAGGAAGCAAGGGATTTGTTTCAAGTTTATTTTACTCAGAATTGTAAAGTACTATAGCATATATTGTCAGCCTTCTGAGATAATACAGGTCAGTAAACAACAAAGCAAAGATTTCAAGAATGCTATTTTACTATTGTAAGGTATAATAACACCTTAAAAATCTTCCAAAATATCTCTGCCCCTCTTACACCAAACACAGAATGAAGCTTTGTTTGCGATGAGTTTCTTCTCATGTCTTCTATTTTCCCAGGACTGAGTTGTTGTTCACTTTCTCTTAATGTGTATGCATTCTTTGATCACTGTACTCCTTCCTCTACACATATATTGGGAGTTTACTTAGCATATTGAGAGCTTTTGCACTATGTTAGAGCTGGCAAGACATGGTGCATCCCATTGGGTGGAACCTTTCTTTTTTTAGAGATGCTTTTTGTTGTTTTGTTGTCTGGACTGCTATTGTATTATCTCATTTTTATTTATGCTGAAATTTAAAAGAATTATAAAGACCTGATTCTTCACCCAAGCCTTTGGCAGGGGAGAGTGACACCCCTCATTCTATCATAAATGCCATTTTTTGTCTTTATCTTTCATTGATCTCATTGTAATATTTTTGTTTGATTGTGTTGTGTGCCCAGAGTTGTTGAGAGTTGGGCAGCATACAAATAATAATAAAAATATCACCCCAGACTTAACTATTGTCTATAAGAAAAACAACAAAACATTTAGATAGTGGACCTTGCAGTACCTGGAGACAGCAGAACAGAAGAGAAGGAACTGGGGAAAAAAATAGAAGTAAAATAACTGTGGCACAAGAAAGCAAACATAGCAACAATAGTAATAGGCACTTTGGGTGTAGTTCCAAAACATCTGAAGCACCACTTGAACACGGTTGGCATTGACAAAATCACCATCAGTCAATTGCAAAAGGCAGCTTTACTTAGAAGAGTTTATATCCTGTGATGATACCTTTAAAACATCAGACAACAACATCTGCCTCTCCCAGGTCCTTGGGAAGGACTTGATAGGTGGATAAAAATGCCAAAACCAATCTATAAACAATTGGCTGACTGATCAACCATAATAATAAACTAGTAGACAAAGCAGGTATCAACAAGACTTGGCAATGGCTAAGAGCAGGAAAGTTGAAGAAAGAGATAGAAGGTCTAATTCTATCTGCACATGACTAAGTTTTTATTGCATTGCTAAACCACGACAGATGGCCCTCAAGGGGTATTGGTAAAATTCCACTTTTCCCCACAAAACAGCCACCCCTAGTCAATGTAACCTAGCCCCACCAGCTGCATCTACTAGTCATCAGAACCAAGCCCCCAAAGAGGAGGAAAGTCTTAAGTCCACAAACTAGGTGCAGAGTTTGCAAAACAAGGTCAGAATCTGCAAAGCAAGGTATGCAAATCCAAAGGCTGAAATATAAGAAGTCCACGAATCGAGTTTTCCAAAAGTCAGGGGGAAGGTATTGTTGGGAAGGTTGTTCCCAACAAACGCACTGTACTCCGACCTCTGGTTAAATTACCCTGAACTACATGTTCCTTGTGAGGAGGGTGGGGCAGCTTCCTTGTGAGTAGCCTCACAGACCTCCTCTGAGCTTCCCTTCACTCTCTGCGCCTACGGATTGGGTGGGGGAGGCAGCTGTTCCTTGTCAGAGGGGATCTGTTGTCTCATTGCTGCCGTCTGCAGTTGATCCTCCCCTGCGTTTGTGAAGGTAGGTGGCTCCCCATCTGACTGATCACTTCCCCCAGTGCCAGAGGGGCCTGGGACAGTATTGTCCGCAGCCCCTGGACTCTCTGGACATTGCAGGGGAGGCATGCCACCCCCATCGGATGATCCCGGTTCCTACTCATCTTCCTCCTCCGAACCAGGATCCGACAGGGCCATGACAAAGCCTTAAAAACAAATGCAAAGCCAGAATTGAGAAGACCGCAAATGTTGCCTCTGCAGAGAAGTTGAAGAAACAATGGACTACTTGGTTTGCTGTGCAAATTGATAACACAGACAGACTACAAACAATGACATGACAAAGTAGCAACAATGATGCGTTGGAATATTTGCAAGAAATACCATTTGCCTGGAAGCAGGAACTAATGAGAGCACAAAAAAGGCAAAGTAATAAAAAATGAAACTAAAATGCCCTGGGATTTTAGAATTCAAACAGACATATCTGCCAGACAGAATCCCAGACTTTATTGAAAAAAAAAGACAAAAAAATCTGGATGGTGGATGTAGCAGTACCTGGAGAGAGCATAAAGAAGAGAATGAACTGGAGAAAATTACAAAATGGAAAGACCTGCAAATAGAAGTAGAATGGTTGTGGCAAAAGAAAGCAAAGATAGTACTAATTGTAATAGGTGCCTTGAGTATGATTCCAAAACATCTGGAACACCACTTGAACACCCTCTGCGTTGATGAAATCACCGTCAATCGGTTGCAAAAAGCAGCTTTACTTGGAAGAGCTAACACTGCAACGATACCTTTAACACCATCAAGCACCAAAACCCGACTCTCCCAGGTCCTTGCGAAGAACTCTGTAAGTAGATAAAAACGCAAAATCCAGTCTAAACATGTGGCTGACTGTGGAACCAACCATAATTGTATTCTGTTCTAAATTGTGAACTGGATAGAGTTGCTCTGGAGTTGGACAGTGCCAAAATAAAATAAATAAACAGCATTATTTTTGTTCTCACTGTTGGCCCTCAGCAGCTGTTTATACTGAAAATCTGGTGGTGGGAAGAAATCTAGGATAGTAATTAGGAAAAACTCCTATTTTAACTCACTTCAAACAAGCACATTTTTTAAAAAAAGGTTCCTGTGCAGAAAAAGCATCATGGGACCAAACATGTCTTTTCTCTAGGGCTGTGTAGTAGGAATTCAAAATTGATACTATTAATTTGTAATGTATATATGTGTTGAAAGGTACTCATATGCATTAATTGCTTATGTCAGCCTACATGCTATATCAATTATATTCCAACTCTACCAGATTTGAAAGACCTCTTTTCTCATCTCTTTTACCTAGGTGTAAACTGCCTAGGGTTTCACAAACCAGGCCACCTTAGTACCTTAACAATGTAATTATAACAACTTGAAGACTAAGTTAGAGGTACCTTACTCAGTTCATCACAATGGCCTGAAATGTCTCACTGTGTTTTTCCCATGTTACAAATGATCATTGAAGGATTATCTCCTCTTTAGTAGGATGTGTTTTCATAACCATTTATCTAGAAACAAATTTGTTTGTCAGGCCTTTCAACAGGATAGGATTCCAGTGTCTAAAGAAGTGGGCTGTGAATTAGTATTCCTGGGAAAGGGATTATGTTTGAGAGTAACAGCCAATAAATAGATTCTGGAGCAACAGGAAGAATTTCTCCTGGCATATCTATGAAGTACATTTATTGTCCTTCAGCACCTGTGCTCAGCTGGAAGAAATATAATGCTGTTGGCAGCCAATCACCAGCTTGCCAGCCCATTGGCTGCATTCAGAATTCATTTGACTCTGAGTGCCCACCCCAGTTCTGATGTCACTCAGCATTTAAGCACAGGTGTCAAACTGCCGGCTCGTAGGCCGGACGCGTCACATGGAAGCCGCGCCCATCCCATTGCTGGCAATGGCAAAACTGTCCCGATATGTTGCACGATGTCATGTGACATCGCGAGTTTGACATGTCTGATTTAGCAGAACAAA